AAACCACCTGGAGTGCACGTTGGCAAGGTCTGTCTGGGCTTGATACTTCATTGTCTTCCTGGGAGAAGTCCAGAGCCCAGGGAAGAAAATAACATGGGCAAAGGGGTGCTGTGCCCCTGATTTCAGGTTATTGACCCTGTCCATTCTCTCCCATGTCCCAGAACAGCTTCACATGAGGAACCGGATATATTATTATCTTCTCAGCACCTCAAACCTCGCGCGGGAGTTCCTCCAATCTTTCTTCACAGATTTACTCAGCTGTACCAGCTATTCAGTGAGCCTGCCAGCACCCTGCCCATGCTGAGGGAGCAGACAGCCTGCAGATGGGGAGAACTGCCAGGCTGCAATCAGACGTCATGAGTGGATGTTTCTTAAAACACTGATGATGTGGGAAAGAGTGACCTATGATTCTTAGCAAGGCTGCAGCTTGTGCATGTTGTAGCGGTGATGAGGCCCATGCAAGCCTTCGCCTTCAAGGGCAGAGTGAGGCACATCACACTTACTAGTCCAGAGTCATGCTAGGCTGGACATGAACAGCTGTCCTGACAGCTGGTACATTGTGTGAGGGAAACACCCCATAAAGTGTATTTTTACAATTCTAGCACAAACAGCATTGCTTTGGAAGGAACCTTGAAATATCTGGCCTGGTGAGGAGAAGACGCAAGTGGTGGCAGGGCCATATGACTGCTTGGGTGTTGGTGCCTGCCAAGTACAACATTCCTTCGAAAATGCACATGCAGTGTCCCTTCTTGCCATCCGCTGTTGTGGAGACCAACTCTGTGATGTTGTTTTCCATGAAGAAATAGCATCCAGCTCCTGCTGATTTGCAGAGCAACACAGCAGTGACTCAGACAACATGCACTTGTTGTTGCCCACAGCTGGCATGACACAGGGGAAGTGAGGTGAATTCTGAAAGATTTTGCCTCTGTGTGGATTATCTTCTGATCTGTAAGAAGACACTCTACATGTAGCAAACTGCATCCTCAAAGGTCAGCCCAGCTGCTAGGCCACAAAGTAGTGAAGTTTCTGAACCTGGTAGCAGGAAAAAGGTTAGAAACGGTCCAAACCAGGGCTGCAGCTCAATCTCTTATCTATGACTGAAAGTAGACTTTAAACAAAAAAGGTGGGAATGGGGCTCTCTGCCTCTGACTGTCTCAGCTGGCAGGGAAGTAGGAGAGGAGAGATTTGTCAAAGTACCAATCATTAGACTAAATTAGTGATCTCAGTCCCCCCACATCTCTTGTCCTACCTATCAAATAGACAGATGTGATCAACACACTGGGAAGCTGATAGCCGTAACTTTTAAACGTGAGGTGATATTACTTGCTAGTTTTACTTAAGGAATATAAACTACTTCTGCAGCTGTGCTGCCACCAGGAGATTCCTTCCAAATGGCAAATCCATACATGCAAATATTGACTTGGACCTTGGTCTCAAGATAAAATCTTTTTGTGCTTAAAATATTTCATACCAAAATCATGTGATCTGCTCAATCTCAGTAAGCGCAGCTTTGTATCGTAGCTTAAGTGCTGAACTGAAAGTGAGGTGTGTGGGCATGGGGATACAGAAAACAAGGACCACTGGGGTAGATTTAGAAGCCTGAAGTGTGCCAAAGAAGTCAGATCTTGTGCAGTTTACAGTCTTACCACATGGAGAGACAGGTTCCAGTTGACCGCATCTCCATGCTGTCAGAGTTGCATGCTCTCCAACCAGGTTATTTCAGATATTTTGCATGAGGAGAGTTTAATGTTTAATAACAGATTTCCTTATTGAACATATTTGGTAATGCATTGGATTTTGATTTAGCGGCATGATACAGCAATGTACTGAAATCGCTGTATAAAAAAAAAATATAAAAAAGCATAATATCGCATTTGCAATATACAGTTGAATCACAGTGCAAACATGATTCTCTTTACTGGTCTTTATATGTTCATTGTCACAGTGCTGGGCCTCTCCAGTCACTGGGAAAGAATAAGTTGGTTGAAACTACCTGAAGCACATCTGTCTCCTCAAACTTTGTCTTATTTGTTGTCCAGCTTTTATACTTTATCTTGGGCTGAGCCATGCATACGCTGCCCTCCCACCCCCCCTCTCCACCTCTCTTGCTGGTCTGGCTTGCTCAGGAAGGCATTATTCTTTGTTTACACATTATTTTTTGTCTGGGGGAACCTGATGATTCACTGGTGCAGCTCTCTTATCTAAACCCATGGTAGCCCTCCATTCTTCCTGGTGTTAAGTGTAGCCTTCTTTCAGCACATTATTGCTCAAGCTCATTGTCTTTTTGCCCTTCTCTGAACTCTCAGCCACTGAGAGAGTGTGCTGGTCTGTCAGAAGTGCTCAAGTTTTCAGTACAAGGGAACAATCTGTTTCTGTCAGATAGTCCAGATGAGATCTGCTCTCAGATCAGCATCGCAGATCACAGGAGCATAACAGTGAAAAGCAGGGGTCTGTGCAACCTGTCTTATTCACAAAGGACAGATTCTAATTCCATTTTTCCTTTGAAAGTGAAAGAGAATACTTTGAATAGGGAATGAAGCACCAGCTGCCAGTGAGTGGAAAGCACAAGGAATATGAAAATCTGTTCAACATTCATACAAAATTGAAAACTACCAGTTTGAAAGATATCAATACCTTTCCAGAAGTTTATTTATATATATTCTTACAATATGTCTGACAGTAATTTTTTTGGCCTAATATTGATCTAAAACTTGAAGCCTGAAGCTCTGTTAGCATTTTATGAATGTTTAAGTCAGAATTAAATTAATCACTGCATATTCCTATTACTCACCCTGAGGTTATCGATTCAGACACAATACCCTACAAGGAGTACTATTTTATTGTGCTAGTCTTTAAACACATATACAAAAATATCATATTAATTACCTAGAGGATGCCAAACCAGAATATAAGCAAGGCAGCTGAAAACTTAAAAAGGAGAGTGTAAAAATCATAGGGATAGACAGTAAGTGTTAGTACACTAGAGGTGTAGGCATTTGCCTCTGTCTCACAGAATTAAATCTTTCTTGTTAATGTGTCTTGTCTACATATGTGCAAAATGAACAAAATTTGTAGTGCTCTTGCCTGAGCAGTGTCATTAGTAAGTATGGGCAGGGGTTGGGGAGCAGAAAGTGAAGCACTAGTAAGTGAAGAAAATAAAGTTTTAATTCAAAAAAAACCAACCAACCAAATAAACAAAAAACCACCAAACCAGCCCAAAACTATTCTGGAATCCTTCTTTAGGCTAGTTACAGCAGAAAAGGCTTGAGTACATTTACTGTTCAGTGACCTGTCAGTTCTGTATAAACAAGAACTATAGCAGGCATAATACAATTTTTAAGCTCCAGTATCACACTCAGCTCACCTGTTCACTCCTGCCAGGAAGGGAAAGGAGATTTGCTTAGGACTACACCAAATCTAAGGACACTCCACATTATATCCATGCATTCCTCTGCATCTCTGCATCAGGAAGCAGAATGGCTACAAGCCTGGGTAAAAGCTGTGAAAGCTTTTGCTAGGGGAAAAATAGTGACTGATTAGAGGAGTTCGGTGAGGGTTGCTTCATATTGGAAGCATGGAAAAGCGATGATCATTCCTGTGTTTCTTAATATACTCCTTTTCTGAAGTGATGTAGAGTAGCTAGGGAGAAGAAAATTTCCATCTAAATAATTTGATACCTTTTTTTCAAAAAAACCCCAACACTGAAACAAAAAAAAAACACAACAAAGAAAAACCCCTAACACAACAAAAGACATATATTTTGTATTGACCATGAAAACATCTGGAGACAGTATTAGAAACAATATTTGCAATGTCAGGATAATGAGCTCCTCTTTTAAGCTTTTAATATGACCATATAGAGCAAAATACCTTTGGTTTTATGATTCTATTGTTATTAAATAGACTGAGGGAAGCTATTCTTTCCCAGTTTAGTAGCACAACAGAGATAAGCTATTTATTATATGTTCTAATATGGCACAGTTTAAATTTGTATGTAGAAATTATGCTTACATTTCCCTCGTAAAGGGACGGATAAAAGAAATCTATAAGTTTTTGGGTTTTTTTTCTGCAAAAATGAAACCATTATTAAAGTGTTAGTCTAGTAGTTTTTCCAGCTCAGGATATTCCTTTACTGTGGCACTTGTAACATCCTTAGACAGGGACTGCCACTTAATATCATAAACACCAATTCAGGACCTTGTCTGTTTCCCCTGTAGATTTAGACACATAAAACACCAGTTAAAGACTGAAAAGCTTGATATGAACTACAAGAGAAAGCTGATTTTTCTTACTTATTAAGGTAGCAGAAATTTAAAGCTATAGCTATACCAAAGGACGTTTTCTAAAAATAAGGAAAAAATCCCCACAGTGGTAACTCTAAAGGATAAAAAAATAGTAAACGTTGTTTATGTAAAAATTGGAAGATAGTATCAAACTTCTCATTTAAGAAATGGGAGGTGGAAAGAAAATTAGAAAAGCAGTATATTAGAAAACCTGACAGCACAGATACTGTGGAAAATTCCCTAAAACCAGTAAGAGATTTCGGAACACTAAAACTTCTGAAGAAAGTTTTATAGAACGCTAAGTACAAATAAAACAAAGCAATTAATGAATAACAGCATTTAAATAATGAGGATTTAAAATAATTCAAACAAATACCAGTCACTGCAAGAAAACAAAATACACACACATATGCAAAATAAATGGATTTATACAAATCCAAGGGAGGGGGGAAATTTCCAATTGCAGCGAACATGTACGTCATTGAGATTTTTTTTTTGGAGGGGGATAAGTATCTGTTTACTTTGTAGAATTCATAGCATTGTTTAACACGTAACAGCAGGCGATGATTCGTCACCCTTAGTGACGAAGTCAGAAAAAAACTGGCGGGAACTCCGCCCCTCTTCGCTGCAGTTTCCAACCAGGTCGGCTCATACCATATAAATTTCGCCGCTACGCCGGACTCTTACTACATTCACTTCCTACAGTTGAGCAGCAGTATGTCTGGCAGAGGCAAGGGCGGGAAGGGGCTCGGCAAAGGGGGCGCCAAGCGCCACCGCAAGGTGCTGCGCGACAACATCCAGGGCATCACCAAGCCGGCCATCCGCCGCCTGGCTCGGCGCGGCGGCGTGAAGCGCATCTCGGGGCTGATCTACGAGGAGACGCGCGGCGTGCTGAAGGTGTTCCTGGAGAACGTGATCCGTGACGCCGTCACCTACACCGAGCACGCCAAGAGGAAGACGGTGACTGCCATGGACGTGGTCTACGCCCTCAAGCGCCAGGGTCGCACCCTCTACGGCTTCGGCGGCTAAAGATTTTTCGCTTCTGTACCATTCTCGAGAACCCAAAGGCTCTTTTCAGAGCCACCCACTTAAACTAAGAAAGAGCTGTGTTACTTAAAAGGTGTTAAAAGAAAAGTGAATGTCCTTAAACTTTGTTTCTGTTAATTAATCGCATCCTTAGTAAATTCTTTAAAAGAAACAGTTAAGCAATTCATAATTAAGCTACATCTATATTGCTCGTACGTTAGGGGCCATCCTAGCTAAGTAGATTAGGGAATTTACGAAGCTATTTGCCTCGGTATCAGCAGCTGGATGAGTTTAGGACTACCGACCTGAATAACAAAAAGCCCTAAATGTGTGCTGTTTCGAGCTGGTGAGCTGTCCCGGCTCAGGCAGGTAGCCATAACCCTGCGGGCATCTTTCGTTGTGGTCAGTTTTTCACTAGTTGAGTAAACGGTAGCGGAAAGCCAATAGGTACCGGGTATTTGAATTACGTCAGGCCCTGTAATGGTGCTCGGGACTTAAAAATGTACGGACGCGGGGTGGGAGGTGTCACTGCTGGTCTCCCGTTGAGCCCTTTCTCATAACACCTTAAATACCGGAATTATTCCAGGTCTGACCTCTGACAGTTGGGAGGGGGGACAGGGGAGAGTTGGGGAGTCTTCTATTTTAATTCGTGCCTTCGGTGTGCTAAAGCTTAGGAAGCTTAGGAAACTTAGGGCTGCTGTAACAGTGTAACCAGTGTCAGCACTAGTTTTCCCTTTGCCCGAAAGACCCTTTTCTACACGGACTCTAAGGACAACTCTGCTGGATAAAACACAGTAGAAATATGTAGTGGGGAAAATTGAAAGCTCACTGTCTACAAAGGTGGTATTTCAGCAAGCAGCATCCTGGGAATACTTTATATGCTGCAAGAAAATTAAAGTCGTTGATAACACTCTCCCTTGAATTAAAGCATTTTCACACGCAATTCAACTCACTCCAAAACCATAACAGCTGCAGTATTACTTTCTATAATTTACAGATTAAATTTACTCGTAAAAACGAACAAAAAAACCCACCAACCCTGCCCCCACAAACATCTCTCCCCCCCTAAATAACACAACCCTCCAGAAAAACACCAACAAATTAAAAAAACAACAACCCACAAGTCCCAAAATGCTGTTATAAGGATTCCTATTAAGTTAAAACTGTACAACACTTATTTTTCAAAGCTTAAGTCTCAGAGAATTAGACCAAAATGAACGTGGATCTTCTGTGCATACTGGACAGTGTAATTTGCCATTACCCATTTCCCTTTTGAACAACTAAACTCTTTCATTTTTGTGATAGGCTATAAAAATTCCTGTAAGAAACAGATAAAAAGGAAAAGAACAACAGCAAATGCAGGGGGAGGGGAAGTGAGAGTAGCGTTAGGCGGTTGACTAAAAGGCGCGCTTTAGCCTTAAGCTTTTCGAATTTGAACCTATCCAATAATAACAGAGCATTGCTGTCAGCCAATCAGAGAGGGGCATACGCTATATAACCCGCCACGGCAAGTCTGTGCTTCTATTCTGTAGCACCGGTTCTAGGACGCAGCTCAGCACTTCTCGGAGCGATGGCACGCACGAAGCAGACAGCGCGTAAGTCCACCGGCGGGAAGGCGCCCCGCAAGCAGCTGGCCACCAAGGCGGCCCGCAAGAGCGCGCCGGCCACGGGCGGCGTGAAGAAGCCGCACCGCTACCGGCCCGGCACGGTGGCGCTGCGCGAGATCCGGCGCTACCAGAAGTCGACGGAGCTGCTGATCCGCAAGCTGCCCTTCCAGCGCCTGGTGCGCGAGATCGCGCAGGACTTCAAGACCGACCTGCGCTTCCAGAGCTCGGCCGTGATGGCGCTGCAGGAGGCGAGCGAGGCCTACCTGGTGGGGCTGTTCGAGGACACCAACCTCTGCGCCATCCACGCCAAGCGCGTCACCATCATGCCCAAGGACATCCAGCTGGCCCGCCGCATCCGCGGCGAGCGCGCCTAAGCGTTGTTCATCCCCGCATCCTAAAGGCTCTTTTAAGAGCCACCACATAGCACAAGAGAGCTGCGACACGGTCTTTTTAAAATACTTTGATACAAAGCAAAGCCGGTTTGATGTTCTAAGGTAGTGTGTACTGATAACTCAAAGCATTTAGGTTTTCTCCCTCTCACCCTCCACTCTGCTCAGGTGGTTTATCTGGACATTTGTCAAGAGATCTTTGTAACCTGATACATCAATTCCAGTGAAAATGTTTCTAAGTCTTCCTAAGCAGTTGTCTGAATTTATTTTTTGAGCAGAATGTTACATGCTTTTATAGTGAGGGTCTTGGAAATTGTCTGCAGAAAAAGTAACTACACTAATTAGACAATGGAGTACTTGTGTAAGTTAATAGAAATATATGTTTGATTTAATCTTGTTGAGCTATAGTTTTGGTTTGTGGGGGGGAAAATGTTTCTAAGTCTTCCTAAGCAGTTGTCTGAATTTATTTTTTGAGCAGAATGTTACATGCTTTTATAGTGAGGGTCTTGGAAATTGTCTGCAGAAAAAGTAACTACACTAATTAGACAATGGAGTACTTGTGTAAGTTAATAGAAATATATGTTTGATTTAATCTTGTTGAGCTATAGTTTTGGTTTGTGGGGGGTTTTTTTGGGTTTTTTTGTGGGTTTTTTTTGTGTGTTTTAGGTTTTTTTGTTCCGGTTTGTTTTGGTTTTTTTTAGTAGGATAAAACCCCATAATTCTATAATTCTTCCCCCTCCTCAGAGTGGATAGTTCCTGTATAATTTATTTTGAAATGGTTTTATGGAGCAGTGCATGTTTTCGCTTTTAAGCAATGTGAAAAGCCAGCTGGAAGACCAGCTTCAAACAACTTTTCATTAAAGAAAAAATGATGTAAGTATATTCTGTCATTACTCTTACTAGAATATATTCTAAAAATCCTAACACTGTGTTAGATATCTGATATCCCTGCCTCTGTAATTATGAGATGAATAAAACAAAAGTGCTAAGAAGATAAGCAGGATACGAGGGATAAAAATGGGAAAATCAGTACATTAGTCTAACTGTGATTTATATTCTAAATTTCCTTTGTTTGTTTTATGACTTTGAGGAAAGGCTGGAGTAAAGGTTGAAGAAGAGCTTGGACAGAGCAAAAGGAACCTGTTTGGGTGTTCCGGGAAGTCTGCCCTTGCATTTTTGAAATACATGGAGGGCACTGTCACAGGGAAAAGTCTTTTTGGCTGTTGTTCGATACTTAAACAGCTGGGGGGAAGGAAGCAGCAACCCTTGGCAGCTTTGTGACTGATAAGCCTGTAGAAAATATGCTTGCAGAGTTCTGAGAACTGAGGATAAACATTTTGTGTTTTATCATAAAGAGAAGGTGGAGTCATTAAGAGGAATATACATGGGGGGATCAGAAGGTCAACATTTGCTAGAATTTAGACAATAAAGTTTTGAAGCCAGAAAACTAGAATTGGCTTTTTCAATTTCTTAGTTGATTGTGTCAATTCTTGCAGACTCCAGCTGTTTTAATATTCTGGAGAACTCATCTTTTCTATTCATTCACAAATAAAACATTCAGATTCCTATGATTTTTGGTTTTGTTGTCACAGCACCTTTTCCTTTGCCCTTGAGTCTGGCCTATCCAATGTCATTCTGTATATGTTACCAGTCAAGCTGCTCTGAAACGAAAATTCAGATGTTTGAGTATGGCATCTGGGGAACCCTGCAAAAAGTTTTGTAGGGTGTGTTTCTTAAGCACTACACAGGCAGTAGAACATGGTAAAATTAATATTTGTAGCATAACAATATAGGTATGAAAGTATATACAAACATTCATGTACATATCCTGTATGTATATGCAAACATACGTATGCATTTCCTTTACTCATAAATTTTAATTCTTCTCAGTATCTATCCAATTCTTTCTTTTCAGTCCACGCTGCCCCAGCACCACCCAGCTTTGTCCTTCTGGCTTTATTTTTTTGTGGTTCCAACAGTACAATGTAGTGGATCAAATAAAAGAAGCAACTTTGTAGTTGGACTAGGTGATCATTATAGATCCCCTCAACTAAAATATTCTCTTCTATTCATCTCTTTAAACATCAACGCGTACAGAGCAAGGGGTGACAATTTTATGAAGTTGAAAGTGGAAGTGCTCCTGTTGGAATAGCACAGAGACTGTGTCTATAAATGTAATTTTAAATAAATTATAATCTTAAAATTCACTGTATGTCTAGCTCCATCTTGATTGCAGTTATTGTTCCGCATTGGCAGTGTATTATTAACTGAAATGACTTAATTTTGTAGCTAGGCACCACTTTGAGGTGTTGAGGTGTTAAAAGGCCAGGTTGGACAGGTCTTTGAGCAAAGTGATGTATTGGAAGGTGTCCCTGGCCATTGCAGGAGGATTGGACCAGATGATCTTCAACACAAACCACTTTGCAATTCTGTGAAGTTAGCAAAGGTTACAAAGTCTAAAATCTCAGAACTGTTACAATTGTAAGTGAGTAAAGAGTGTGGTCAGGGGATGCACAAAATGGACCTTGCTGAAACAGACACTGGTGACTGCTTGTAATGCACACTCAGGCTCTGTAAGGAGCCCTTGCTGATAACAGACTGTAGAATCTGCTCTCAAAAGTGAATGAGATTATTATTCATTGTGACTGATAAGTAGTTAATATGTTGTCTGTGTTTCTAGGTCTTGTATCAGTGCTCTCCAGTAAAAAGGACTGGGTAGCACCTTACAGTGTTAAAAAAGTTGTAGTTACTAGCAGTAAGACAGAGGGTTTTTTCTGCATCATTTTGGTTTCTTTTGTTCTGTTTCACTATGAACTCAGAAAGATTTTTACTTCACCTACAAATAAATAGAGGCAAAGACTGTCTTAAAAAAATACTTATATGTTTTGTTCGAAACAAACTCACACAAAAATAGACTGATTCCTCTCTCCACCATAGACTGCACAGCCATTCCATTCATCTTTTGGTAGCATTGCAGCTTTTCCATTGCAAGCTGGTTTCAAAACAAGGCCATGAAGACCATGACTACTCACTCATCTGGGAGACTTTATTTAGAGGTGAGGGAGGGGGGAAATAAGTAAAAAGGAAAGAAACCTTCAAACCAACCTTAATCTGGGCTGATTGTAAACTTGGCAAGTTTTCCCACCCTTTCTTGTCCATCCCAATGCTGCCTCTGACAGATTGTGTCTGTAGCACAACGAGCACCTCTAAGAGATGCAAATGGTCCTCAGAAGCCTCTAATGACAACAGGTGACAGCTCTGCCCCCTAACAGCTCCCTCCCCTGCACCCAAGGTACCAACCGTGAAATTTCACAGCTGGGGAGAAGACAGAAAGAGGTTTCCCAAAATTATGGTAGGACGCGCTAATACTCTCTGTTATGAATTGGAGGTCTAATCCCTAACTTACTATTTTAATGCTCAGGCTCCTGTTAGACTGGTCACTCCTGTGTGCATGTATGTCAGTAATGATTCAAGCAAAGGTGAGTCTGCCTGCATAAATCAGACAACTCAGGATATTTTCTGACTGCATAAAATCTTGCAAGCACTACCTGGATAAGTGTAAGTTTAAAGGCAAACACAGGTATATTCATTATTGGAGGAATACACAAATTTCCACTCCAAGTTTTATAAACAACTGTTATTAAAAATCCTCCCCCTGCCAAAAAAAAACCAAAACCAAAAAAACCCCACAAAACAAAAAAAAACCACAAAAAGAAAACCCCAATCAAATAACCTCACCTCCCCCCCCCGCCCCACACCCCTCAGTAATTACATAATACAAAACTGTGGAAAAAAGGTTATCAATTATAACAAATCCTGACAAACTTGATAGTTATTCCACCATTTCTCTTCAGCTTGGTCACACATCATTTTGAGACTGGCCTAAAAACCCCCAGTATTCTGAGACAGATATTCTTGGTACTGGCCTTAATAAATGTCAGAGCAAGGCTGCAGCCCCTTTTAAAGCAGCCTGCCTTAGCCAAGTTCAACAGTAACACAATTGCAGGGAACTGCAGGAACTTTCTGCTCTGGGAGAGGTTAAGGCACAGCATTCTTGAACCTGGGCTGGTACCTCACAGAGCCGTGTCTCCCCTGCCCCCTCCTCCCCCAAAGGCGTTTGGAGTCTGTAGTCAAGAGATGTAAAACCCATAATGTCTGATGTTCCTTAAACTAATACACTGACTAAATGCACTACCGTCTCCACTTCTGTCTCTCTTCCCCCACCCAGTGTTCATATAGTGATGTCACTCACCTTCAGTTATTTGCAGAGAAGTAAACTTAGTCTTATGGGGCTTATAAGACTGTTTGTAACCAGGCAATTAAGTAAATTATTACAAAACAAAACCCAAACGAAAAAAAATAATTGGAGGGGGGCATAAAAATCAAATGCTAACATTTAGAATGTAACAAGAAAACATTGCTATTTCTGCAGAATACCCATTTCAAAGCAGTGGTACAGCTCTTTTTATTGTGTATGGGGTGGCTCTTAAAAGAGCCTTTGGGTCTGTGTGGGCTGCCTCAGTCTACCGAAATCGGGGAGTTGCTGTGGCAGGAGGCTTAGGCGCGCTCGCCGCGGATGCGGCGGGCCAGCTGGATGTCCTTGGGCATGATGGTGACGCGCTTGGCGTGGATGGCGCAGAGGTTGGTGTCCTCGAACAGCCCCACCAGGTAGGCCTCGCTCGCCTCCTGCAGCGCCATCACGGCCGAGCTCTGGAAGCGCAGGTCGGTCTTGAAGTCCTGCGCGATCTCGCGCACCAGGCGCTGGAAGGGCAGCTTGCGGATCAGCAGCTCCGTCGACTTCTGGTAGCGCCGGATCTCGCGCAGCGCCACCGTGCCGGGCCGGTAGCGGTGCGGCTTCTTCACGCCGCCCGTGGCCGGCGCGCTCTTGCGGGCCGCCTTGGTGGCCAGCTGCTTGCGGGGCGCCTTCCCGCCGGTGGACTTACGCGCTGTCTGCTTCGTACGCGCCATGACCAACGACTCACAAACCCTCCCGATACACAGGAAATCTGACTGAAATAGCCTACTCGGCGCCGGTACTTATAAAGCCGCCGCGTCTCTGATTGGCTGACAGGAAGCGCGACCTTATTGGGTGCTGTGACAATCCTACTCTGGGCCCAAGAAAGCTGAATTCGCCGCTGCCTGTTCCCCTCCTTCTTCCCCACCCCCACTTCCACCGCGCGCCGAATCACGGCTCTCTCGGCGAGAGCTCAAGGCTTAGGAGGTGGTGACGGATACTGCGGACACACCGCTCTCATCCCTTCTCTGCTTCTTTGACTTTCCCTCCGCCAGGCTCTTGGCGCCACTTGGAGGCTCAAATTTAGAACCGGTTTTTAAGACAGCATATCATTTTCATATGATGTTTGATAATAATATTGGTGGGCTGATTGCAAAGGGAAAAAAAAGTTCTTTCAATGCCTTACAGAGCTCCCTCTTAAAGTAACAGGCACATTATCCCCATGGGAAAGATCGCCTACTACCTCAAAACACAGACACAGACCCTTAATAAACTCTTTAATGCACGTTTGTAGCTGTAAAAGTATGTAACAAGCTGAAACAATAGAGATGCATCTTTTAAGCTATTTTCTTGTGTTACTTTCTATTCTCCAGGAATATAGGCATGAGAGACCGTAAGTATCAAGTAATATCCCGTCTTTGAGAATAGTTACACAATGAGCCTATTTGTGAAATGAAGAACACGAAGCACGGGATTACCCTGATATTCAATTTGCCCGTACTCATTAACGCTGTGAGAAAACCGGAAGTGATCGCGAATATTTATTGATTGCTGCTGTTTACGAGCGATCAAGGAATACCAACAGCTTTATATAAACCCCCAAAAAAGTGGTTTTGCCCTTTTTTTGCTCACGTGATGAAGGAAAAAGGACACCAATACTTCAGAAGCGCTCACACCCGAACGGGAGCGTTGTCTCCATGCGAGCCTTCCTACAAGGCTCCTTTTGATGCATTTTGTTTTGAACATACTGCAAGGGACATTATTTTCTGTCATATTCTGCGCCGCCCCCCCCTCCCCCATATGTACTTTAGATAGCTATATTAGATTTACTCCTGAAATAGCTCTTAAAAAGTGAAAATAATCACTGAAGACAGATTACGGCAAAGAAAAATAATTTATTTAGAAATACCAAAAAAACATTAATCACAGAGCAACTTTAATATTTTTCCCCAGGTGATAAAACGTCTTCCCTTTCATCCTGGCAGTGGATTACATACTCTCATGTAAACGAAAAATTTTAAGTACTAGGCATTGAATAACATTTCAGATAATTATGCTTAAATCAGCGATTTAAAAAGGGTGAAGGAAACAGTTTTGATCAAAAAGAGCTCTTTTCAGAGGGGTAAAACATTTGTACGGGAAGTGCAACGGAGTACACACACACAAAAAAAGCTTCTTGTAAAGCAAAGACAATCTCGCTGTGAATATCAAAATTAAAACACTAGATCACACTTACTGAATTATAAAGCTTTTTAAAATAGTATTCTGCAAGTCAGTTTTAGTAGTCGTTGGGAACTTCGTAGTAGGCGTTCCAGGTGCCTTTTCAGGGAAAATGTCACAGCTCTTCTGAAGAGAAAGGGAGTGGCTCTTAAAAGAGCCTTTGGGTTCTCGA